TAGGTATATGGAATATTTTCCTACCTCTGGATGGTATTTTTTTTATCTTTAAATGTAAAAATGTGTTTATTCACAATCCTTGAGAAGCTACCATTCCTTCAGAAAATTCTTTATGAACAAAAACCCAAGAAACATTACAGTAGTAGCTTGTGCCAAACCAAAAATATACATCTCATGTGTATAAAGTTTACAAAGCATTAACACAGGCAATGTGAATAGAGTACCTTTAAAATATTTCCACCAACATAGCCACAACTTAAATTCAGACAGATATAAGTAACATCATTACCTAATGTGCTATATTTACATATTAAAATGTCATATTTATTTCTATGAGATTAAAAAAGGACAAAAACTACAGATGTCATTGCCTAGCAGTTCAAATATTGAAAGGGCCACATGATTTTTTTAAATTACAGCAAGAACTTTAGTTGCTATTTATATCTGGACGTTCCCATGTCTTTGAGAACATGCAGTGTCACTTGCAAGAGAAGGAAAGAAAAACATACTAAAGAAAAACAAAACACAGTTTGCTTAACTAAAACAACAGTCGATCATCAGCCAAATCAAGGAAAGCAATTAGGGAGTGTTTTATATCCTTGGCCTTTCATATTGACATATAAACTTTAGGGAAAAGTTAATTGGCTATCACAAAATGCATTTACATATATTGATATACTTAATTCCATCCCATTAAAACACTTTGTACTACAAGACAAAGGAAAATGTAATAAAATTGATGGAAACTTTCATACCAGAAAGGATTTTATTTACTTTGAAATACCCGTATTACCTTTTCATGTTTTCCTTTCTTAAATTATTCAGATATGTTCTGTGTAAAATCTTTCTAAGATTACTCATTGGAAATAAAGAAAATTTTTTTAAATGACAGCTAAAAACTTAATTTAAAGCCAATACAGTGGTGTGTAAAAGGAAGTGAATAACATATACATACATTTTTAAATACTGTTTTTCATTATTATCAACTTAAAATGTTCAAACTCTGAAGGTTTATTTTTATCATATTATCTTTTGTTCAGACTGAATCAACATCGTCATACTAGGATCTGCAATAGGTAGAAAGACAGCAACATTTCAGCATTTCTTATGGTCATCTACTCAAGTTAATTGTGCTATTAGATATCAAAATTTAAAGAAGTCACAGAAGTAACTAATGCTAGGAAAGGGAATACTATTCTAGATATAACTTGACCACCCTCCTCATGCGCCCTTCATATCTGCTGAGAATTAACAAAAAATACTTTGTCATTTTCACAGTTAGAAAATATGAAATAGGTTTAGTAAAGCATTCAAAGTAAAATAAAAGATTTTTTTAAATGTGAAAATATACAAGAGCAAACAGCAATGCTATAAAGAGTTAAATAATTGAATTGATAACATGACAGACCATTAAGCTGGTTTTGAAAAGCAGAAGGCAGATGATAAAATTGCACTTAATTCTGAAGCACTTCAGATCTAGCCTATCAGTCCTACTCTCTTCTAATAAAATAAGCATTTACAACAGGGTTTCTTATCTCCCCCTTACAAAAAGGCTCAGCACAACATATATACATTCTAGTTGTTTTTTTTTTTAACATTTGATCATAACTGATAGCAGGATTACACAATTTTATCCTATCGAATCTGTTGTTCTGCAACAGGCTGCTTTATGCTTAAACTAGAATCAGACAGTTCCAGTACAGGGTTCACAAATCCAGAATATTCCGCATTGCCTTTGTCGTCCATTTCAGCACTAATAAAGTCGTTCTCCCACTCCAGCCCTTTGGAATCATCAGAGGCGGATGTAGGGTTACTTCCCCTCTTCTTGCTGCTGTACTTAAGTGCTGCCCAGAGAATGTCTTCCTCTGTTTTGGAACGTTCTCTCACTGGAAGCATTCTATTCACTCCTTCTTCATCTTCCCACTCTAGATCTAAGGATGTGCTGTCATCATTTCCACTGGCTAATTTGGTTTTCGACATTAAGTCGCATCTGATGAGAGTCTACTACTTCGAAAAACTTCATACTGGGACTTTATATTTTTCAAACAAGATCCCAAGTCGTCTTCTGGTCCTGAACTTTGATAGTCTCCACGGCCGGAAGGATGATACCGCTGCACAACTCTCTGCCTTTCTTGCTCCAAGAGCTTTCGCCGCTTTGCTGCCCTGGCTGCTTCACGCTGTGCAGCGTATAAAGCTTCTTCTTCTAGTCTTAACTTCTCTTCTTGTAAGGCTAACTCTTTTTGGATTTTCTTATCAAGATCTTTCTGCTTTTCAGCAATAGAATCATAATGCCTCTCTCGTAAGTCGACAATTTCTTCTTCAGTAAGAGGCCTATGACTGCTTCCTGGGCTCTCCCCTTCATCACTTTCTACTAGATTCTCAAACTCTATAGTTAAGTGCTCACCTCTTGAGCATGTTCTAAAATACTTGGATCCTCCGCCGCCTCCTACACGCTGCAGTCGCCCCGCTTCCTTGCGGACCAGTCGGATGCACTGCGTCCAGCATCAGTTCCCGATCGCATGCCACCCACAGCGCCACCGCTGCTCCTCCTCCTCCTCCCGCTCAAAGCCCAAGTCCAAGCCCGCAGCCGCATTCACGCGGCACGAGCCGAAGGAGGGTTAGGGGACCGAGGACAAGCCGGCCGGAGCGCGGCGGCGTGAGGGGCTAGGGCAACGCGAGGAACAAAGCGCTCCGAACAAAACAAAGGCAGCGGTTACACCAGCAGCCTCAGAGCCGCTGCTGCACGAGGGAGGAGCGCCGGCTGCAGGCTTTGGACTCCCTCGTCATGGTCTGCATGGCCTGTCCTTCAGCCCCCCAGCCCAAATCCCCTCTGGATGGTATTACCAAATTAATTTACAAAATCTCATGAAGGAGCTTGATTTTGATTGGCTTAGAGATAAATAAGTGCTTATATCAATTAAATATTTCTAAAACTCTCATAAATGTAAGAAATAACCCAAATGTTTTTTCAAGTTCATGTGACTTCAGGAAATCTTTCCTAAATAAGACTACCCTAATTTTGCTGGTTTATTAAAATAACTATGTTGGGAGGAAAAGATCAGGAATATTGTTCAGGCTGGCCTGAGTTTGTGAGACTCTATGTCAGCCAATAACCTGAATTGTGGTGCATACCTGTAGTCCCAACTATGTGGGAGACATAGATAGGAGGATCACAGTCTGAGACCAACCCTGGGCAAAAATGGAACACTCTATCCAAAATAACTAAAGCAGAAAAGGACTGGGGATATGGCTCAAGTGGTATAGTATCTGCCTAACAAGCATGAGGCCCTGAGTTCAAACTCTAGTACCACTGAAAACAAAGAAATAAAAAACTTCAACTTCTGAGTTATCTATCTTTAAAATAATGAGATCGTATGTTCATAAAACTTGCTGGTCTGCTACAGAACGGTGGTTGCATGACAGTTTGTGTTCTCTGCTCACTTCTCTGCTTCTTTAATAGCTAAAATTTAATAATCAATATATGCAATCAAATGACTAGATATAGATGAGGGAGAAAGGAAATAACTTTGCAAAGTGTGCTAAGAATGAAGGTTGTGATTTTGTTAAGGGAAAAAGCAATTTTGTTTTAAAGTAAAATGGCTGGTTTTAAAGTAAAATGAGAAAGAGTTTAATAGATATAAAAATCTGTGAAAGGAATCTGAGAGAAGGAGTCTTATCTGTGTGGTCAAAGCTGGCTAAGATTGGATGGATTGATTAAAATGTTTAAAATGCCAAAATCCATTGTGTCTGCATATGAAGGTGGCACAAGGCAACTCACCAAATGTTGTTGAAGATAAGGGTGGTAAGAGCGATAGAAGGGGTTAATCTGATCAGTGCACAATGTATGCATTCGTGAAACACCATAGACAATCCCTCTGTACAATTAATAGGCATTAATAAAAACATTACGGAGCAACACAAAAAATAATTGGAGGGTTTAATCTAAAAAACGAGCTAAGGTTTATCTTTTTCAATTGTGTTATCTCCTGTGTTTGCATTTAAATTCTTTTGGCACTTTGGTTAAATCAGTAGCTAAGCATAATTTCACAGAAACCTAGGATTCTGTTTGGCCAACTGTTCAAACTGTGGCAGGAAGGCAAGGAGGGGTAAGGGAGATAATGAGTGCTACAGTGAAACAAAGACAAACCAGAGTTGGGGAATGTTACCTGGAGACCAGAGAAGAATCACCTTGCCCCAGAGGTTAAAGCAATGAAATAACATGTGATTACGTATGGGACAAGCTGTACCCCCCATTTCTGTAACTTGCTCTAAATGATATATAAGGAAAGCCCCCTTTGTTCTCAGGACTCAGCCTTTTTTCTCAAGTCCACTGAGTCGCTGCATGCCTTCCTAATAAACTTGCTTCCCAAAAGCTTTGTTGCCCTCTCTGTCTCTGTCTGACATTTTTGGGGCAATTGTCTGGGATTTGGAGGGCAGTGTTTTCACCTCCTTATCACTGGCTTAACATTCCTGGCTTGCCAGGAGGGCCTCCCCTGCCAGGTGCCACTGGACCATTTTGATCCAAGGGGACAGAGCCTCTCTCCTGGCAAGCCAAGGAGGTGAGTTCCAGTTGCACAAAGAAACACAAAAGGCTCAGGAACCAACTCGGGAGCCCTGCTCATCAGACTGGTAAAAACCCAGGTTCAAATTCAGGCCTGCGGCCGCGGCGTTGCTTCCCTGTCGGCGCTGTCTTCCCAACTGCCTTCGCGTGGCGCGAGCCTGGATCCTCGCTCTTCCCTTGACGGCGGCGGCGGCGGGAGGGAGCGGCGGCAAGCGGTGGCGGGCTCCATGGATTGCGGCGGGCGCCCTGGCAGAGGCGGCGCTTCCATCCCGGCCCCTGGACTTTAGTAACCCACGCTCGCGTCCTGCACCCAGTCGGAGCGGCCGTCGGCCCCACGACTGACCGGCCTCGCTGCCCCTCTCCGCCCGCTGGTGACCCTGCGCCCGGACTCGCTTCGCCTCCTACTCCCCAGCGGGGTGGCGGCGGCCGGGGCCCCACGGCGTTGGTCGAAGCAGCAGCGGCGCCAGGAGCCCGCCTCTATGATGAAGTTCAAGCCCAACCAGACGCGGACATATGACCGCGAGGGCTTCAAGAAGCGGGCGGCGTGCCTGTGCTTCCGGAGCGAGCTGGAAGACGAGGTCCTGCTGGTGAGTAGCAGTCGGTACCCAGACCAGTGGATTGTCCCAGGAGGAGGGATGGAGCCAGAGGAGGAGCCCGGCGGCGCCGCTGTGAGGGAAGTTTATGAGGAGGCTGGGGTCAAAGGAAAATTAGGCAGACTCCTGGGCATATTTGAGCAGAACCAAGACCGAAAGCACAGAACTTATGTTTATGTTCTTACCGTCACTGAAATACTAGAAGATTGGGAAGACTCTGTTAATATAGGAAGGAAGAGAGAATGGTTCAAAGTAGAAGATGCACTCAAAGTTCTTCAGTGCCATAAACCTGTCCATGCAGAATATCTGGAAAAACTAAAACTGGGTTGTCCCCCAACCAATGGAAATTCCACAGCCCTCCGGGGTGCCATCCAGTGTAAGATAGAGAGAACTGGGAGGCCCTCCCCACCACATGTAATCTCTTGGGGAGTGGCTTCTTCTCTTTCCCTGGCAAACATCTGAATGACGCTTGCAAACTGTCTGAATCTGCCATGCAGGGATTTCAAACAATTTAGCATGTATTTCAGATGCTTTCAAGTCTTTTAAAAACAAACAAAAATAGTGTAAAAATATTTTAAGAAGCCAAAGCCATGTGGGATTTTTTTAAAGATGCCTTAACAGTGAGCTCCCCTCTCCCATGTTATTTTGATTGCCATTTTTCACAGCATTTTTTCGGGTTTGTTTTTGTTTTGTCATTATTTTGGTTTATTTTATCAGATCAAATTGCTTGTGGGTATATTTTCCCCCTAAATTGCTTTCTTATTCACAGCATCAACATACTCACCAAGTGTATCTGGTGGGAAATAATGAAAAATGCTATTGGTACCGAAGAAACCTAACCATCCCAAAACTTAAGAGGACCACAATCTTAATCCATAAATTGCTGATTTGGGCTATTTCTGAATGGTCCAATAATTTTTGAAACAGGATTTCAATTTGTTATTTTCAGGAATTTGTCATCTGAATTTGTCATCAGGAATTTGAATGTTCACAACTGGTATTATGTCACTATCAATCTAGTATAGCTGTTTCCCTTAAGACACAAAAGTAGTTTAACGTGAAATATAACTTGAGATGGTGACCTTTAAGAAAATACTGTTAACAGAATTCATGTAGTAAGTACATCCATCATGCACACTGTATTCATGGAATTTATTTAGCACGCTCAGTTGCCAATTCCCTATCTATAGTCCCCCTTTACATGGGATAGAACACTATTTCTCCCAATAGAAATTGCTCCTAAAGTGTATTTTCAGTTTTCTAATTTAGTGACACCTCTTTAAATTTCCATTTTACCTGTAACCAACCACAGGACTGCAGTCTAACCTTCAGTGCCAGTCAGTGATGGCTGCATCAGTGAATAAAATGGCCTTCCTGTTGCTCAACTGTTACAGGCTTAAGATTGATTTGTCATAACTTTTCAGGGCACTGGAACATACCTGAACTAAGAATTATTTTATCTTTCACTTTATACTAACTTAAAATCAGGGATCCCACATAAAATAAGTACTGGTCTGACACTTCCCCAATGATATCAGCAAGGAGAGGGGAGGAAAAACACCTTTGACTGAAATGTGGGATGGCGGACAGTGAAAGATCATTTTCTATGTAGACATTTGTTAGCCTGTTGCAAATATTGTAACTGGCAAGTAGAACATAGAAAAAGTATAGTTAGAAAATATGCTCTGTAGTTCTTGACCTTTAAAAATATAATTGCTGCTAGAAATAGTCTGTAAATTACACTTAAGGAAAATTGGTGCCATTTTGAAAATGAGATCATGTGCCATAAATGCAGCTGGAACTAAATATAAACATTAGTTTATAAATTAGTGGTGGCAAAGGAATGAGTAAAGTAGGAAAACTTTTAACCAGTAACGTCTCATCCTGAATTATGTAGTATAATCACATCTGGTCATCCAGAATTTTTAATATTTTTCTTTGTACAGAGCTTATATATTCTGGGTGTTTTTAAAAAGGAAACATTTTAAATCCCACAAATTGACACTTTCTATCAATCACCAATGGACTGATTTTTTTTTTCTCAACAATCTGAAATTTCTTCAAATTATTAACAGAGAAACTGGATTCTTTTTGTATATAGGATTGCTTCCACCTGAAATGCTATCACAAGTACTTGGTGGGGGTGGGGGGGTTATCTTGTACATGATATACTTAGAGGTAATAATGCATGAACTTATTTTATAAACTCTTGGACTGTGTATTGTCATGCAAAATATGTACAGTATTAGTATCAACCATCTCTTTAAAGTTAGCCTATAAATATGTTGTAGAACTCTCTTTGGTCAGAAACATTTGAATATTTAGTGCCACTTGAGTCAGGATTTCCTTCAGTGCTGTTTAGGGAGTCACGGTCTTTAGTCTATGCAACTAGCAAAAATCTGTATGATGTAACCAAACAGGATTTTCACTTTGAAATATCACATGAGAGGGTCTTCACTACTCTGGAACCCAGCCTAGCAAAATTAGGAAAAACTCCAAGATTTATCTTTTAATAAGAAAAGCCAACATTTTCAAGCTAAATTGTTGAACTTGCTAGATAATAAATAATGTCTACTATCTCAATCCTCCAAAGTTTGTGGTGTTGACTATAATTTGTGCTTATTTGTAAGGTAGTTGAATAAAATTGGGCAGCTAAAACTTTTCAGTTCCATGTGCCTCCTAAGTAAAAAACAGAAAACAAGTAGTGACTGTAAATTGGTTGCAAAGTAGAAACTGCCCTGCAAGTTTTTGTTTTTGAGATGACACTTTCCAACCAAGCGCATGTCATCCAGTTTTCTGTCCATCACACCATTGTATAAAGCAACAAAAGTGAAGGAGAGAAATGTGCACACGGAACTGCTTTGCATGTCTCATTTGAGGTGGTCTCCTCCTAACTGGTGTAAGAATCTTGACTTTTTTTTTTTACATTTGGAAACATCAAATAAAAATTGAAACAAACAAAAAAAATTTCAGGCCTGCCTCAGGAGGCAGAAGGGGAGTCTGACCAACTCCCAAAGACACCCAAGTAATCTCCTTTTCTGGGTGAAACTGTGTCTTTCAGGTTTAGGGAGCAAGGCAGAAGTACTGAGAGTACTGAGAGTACTGAAAGTATGAGCCTGAAATGTAGCCTGGTTATGAAGTGAGTGCGGAGTCCTGATCTGCAGATCCCTGGTGAAATCATATGGTCTAGCGTGAATCCTAGAGTCACTATGGCCAAGAAATGCCAAAATCCCCACAGGGGCAGCAGCTGGAGGTGGATGAAGCAAGTGGTGTTGTTTTCCCCTGTGTGCTTGAGAGGAGGAACCCTTACCTCTTCTCCACAGTTCTTATCCCTTCTGTCTCTGTCTCTGTCTTGATGTCTGGCAAATGGGAGGAGTGGGAGGAGGTCAGAGTAAGAGGAACCCCCTAGAGTGCATGCTTAAGAACTTTAAAAGGGAATTTAATGGAGATTATGGGGTCAAGATGACTCTTGGCAAGCTTAGGAACTTCTGTGAAATAGACTGGCCAGCTTTTGGTGTAGGATGGTCCTTGGAGGGGCCATTAGGTAAGGTCATATTCAGTAGAGTTTTTGAAGTAGTTTCTGGGTGTTGGGGATCCTGGACACCCAGATCAATTTCCTTATATTGATTGCTGGCAGGATGCCATCCTCAGTCGGCCCACATGGCTAAAGCTCCACCTAGAAGAAGCATATAGAATCATGGTAGCCAGGGTGGTAGCAGCTTCCAAAGGCAGGGAAAAATGTAACAAGCCAGAAAAACCCATATTAGCAGGGGGACCCTCACTTATGTGTCACTGTATCCACCTTTGCCACTGCCATCTGCCTCTTTGCCTCAGAAGGGGAAGCAGCATCCGATGGGGAAGCTCCAGCAGCAAATTCACCCACAAAGCTGAGCCTAGGAGTCCTTGAGACTGCAAAACTCTACCTTCCTCAGGCCCCATGAACCTCATGCTCACTCTGAGCCCACCAGTCATCACTCCACAGTTGCCTGTGAGACTGGTCCCTAGGTTTAAGCAGGAATACTTGTCAGTCGCACTATGGGTCTAGCCTCTCCCCTGGAACCCACCATGCTGCAGATGTCCCTGAGAGGTCCAGGGCCAAATATATTATGACTAGCATAGTCAGATACAAGGAGGAAGGCCAGCATTTGTCTATCAGCCCTTCACCATCACAGACCTCCTTAATTGGAAACACCATACATCCTCCTTCATGGAAAAGCCTCATGCCCTGATTGATCGAATGAAGTCCATCATCCAAACTCATAAGCCCACCTGGACAGACTGCTGACAGCTTCTTCTGACTCCATTTAATACGGAGGAGTGATGCCATATATCCTTGAGGAGTGATGCCATATAACTGGAAGACCATGCCCCTGTGGGTACTCTAAATGTCCAGGCCTATGCTCAGGGCCAGTTCCCAAGGAGGACTCCCACTGGGACCTAATGACAACTGAGATTACCTGTGGCTTGAGTGGAATCAGGAGCCATTATTAGGAGGCAAGAAGGAAGGAGGAAAAAAAGGCATGAATACGAGTAAGCAGAAGTCCATCAAGGGCCAGATGAGAGCCCCAGCCAGTTTTACAAGTTACTATGTGAGGCCTTCTGTCTGTACACCCCTTTCGAACCAGAGGCAGCTGAAAACCAGAGGATGATTAATGCAGCCGTTGTTAGACAGCCCAGGTGGACATATGACAAAAGTTGCAAAAGCTTGAGGGATTTTCTGATATGAATGTTAACCAACTTCTGGAGGTGGCCACAAAAGTCTTTGTCAATCAAGATCAGGAGGCCAAATGGAGGCCGGTAGAAAGATGAAAAGGATGGTAGATCTCCTTGCTGTATGGGCTGAGGACAATAGCCTCCACCCCTTACTGGCTTGGAATACACCTCCAGTGGGGGTAGAATTAAAGATGGGAGCCATCTTTGTTAGCCAGAGGCAATACTACATTCTTTGAAAGGCCCAGATTGGGATCCAAAAGCATCTTGACAGACTCCTGAAGTATGGGATCCCTTGGCCTTGTCAGTCTCCCTGAAACACCCACCCACTGCCTGTCCAAAAACCAGGAACTGAAGGCTTTAGGTCACTTCAGGACCTCTGTGCAATCAATTCAGCAACTGTTATCTTATACCCTGTAGTCCTAAACCCATACATGCTCTTACCCAGCTGAGGCAAAATTCTGTATCTGCCTGGATCTTAAGGATGCATTTTTCTGCATCCACCTGGCTCCAGACAGCCAACCAATCTTAGCCTTCCAATTGACTTGTACTCGATTGCCACAGGGCTTCAAAAACTCTCCCACTATCTTTGGGACTGCCTGGGAATCCAACCTAAAGGTTTCTCATCCTGCAAGCATTGCTGCACACTCCTCTAGTATTTACATG